GCACATAATCGTCAGATTCAAAAAGGTTGAAATAAAGGAGAAAATACTAAGGGCAGCCAGAGAGAAAGGTCCAGTAACCCACAAAGGGAAGCCCTTCAGACTCACAGCAGATCTCTCGGCAGAAACACTACAAGCCAGAAGAGAGTGGGGGCCAATATTCAACATACTTAAAGAAAAGAACTTTCAACCCAGAATTTCATATCTAGCCAAACTGAGCTTCAGAAGTGAAAAAAAAAGTGAAATCCTTTGCGAACAAGCAGGTACTCAGAGATTTTGTCACCACCAGGCCTGCTTTACAAGAGCTCCTAAAAGAGGCACTACACATAGAAAGGAACAACCAGTACCAGCTATTCCAAAATCACACTAAACGCTAAGAGCATCAACATAATGAAGAATCTACAACAACTAATGGGCAAAACAGCCAGCTAGCATCAAAATGGCAGTATCAAATTCACACATAACAATATTAACCCTAAATGTAATGGACTAAATGCACAATCAAAAGACACACCTGGCAAATTGGATAAAATCCAAAACCCATCAGTGTGCTGTATCCAGTCAACCCATCTCACATGCAAGGATACACAAAGGCTCAAAATAAAGTGATGGAGGAAGAATTACCAAGCAAATGGAGAGCAAAAAAAAAGCAGGAGTTGCAATTCTCATCTCTGATAAAATAGACTTTAAAGCAACAAAGATCAAAAGAGACAAAGAAGGCCATTACATAATGATAAAAGGATCGATACAACAAGAAGAGCTAATGATCCTGAACATATATGGATCCAATGTAGGAGCACCCAGATACATAAGGCAAGTTCTTAAACGACTTACAAAGAGACTTAGACTCCCACACAATAATAATGGGAGACTTTAACACTCCACTGTCAATATTAGACAGATCAACCAGACAGAAAATCAACAAGGATATCCAGGGCTTGAACTCAGACCTGGAGCAAGCAAACCTGAGAGACATTTACAGAAACTCTCCACCCCAAATCCACAGAATACACATTCTTCTCAGCACCACATCACACCTACTCAAAAAATTGACCACATAATTGGAAGTAAAGCACTGCTCAACAAATGCAAAACAACTGAAATCATAACAAACAGTCTCTCAGACCATAGTGCAATCAAGTAAGAACTCAGAATACAGAAACCAACCCAGAGCATCACAGCTTCATGGAAACTGAACAACTGGCTCTTGAATGTTGACTGGGTAAACATGAATGAAGACAGAAATAAAGAGTTCTTCGAAACCAATGAGAAGAAGACACAACATGCCAGAACCTCTGGGACACATTTAAAGCAGTCTCTAGAGGAAGGTATATAGCAATAAGTGCCCATATGAGGAGAATGGAGAGATCCAAAATTGACACCCTATCGTCCAAATTGAAAGAGCTAGAGGAGCAAGATCAAAAAAAAACTCAAAACCCAGCAGAAGACAAGAAATGACTAAGATCAGAGCTGAACTGAAGGAGATTGAGACAGGAAAAACCCTTCAAAAAATCAAATCCAAGAGCTGTTTTTTGAAAAGATCAACAAAATAGACCGACTACTAGCCAGATTGATTAAAAGGAAAAGAGAGAACACCCAAATCAATGCAATAAAAATGATAAAGGGGAAATCACCACAGATTCCACAGAAATTCAAACCATCATCAGAGAATATTACAAACAACTCTCTGCACATAAACTAGCAAACCTGGAAGAAATGATATAAATTCCTCGACTCCTGTGTCCTCCAAGCCTAAACCAGGAGGAAGCTGAAACTATGAATAGACCAATAAGAAGGTCAGAAGTTGAGGCAGCAATTAAGAGCCTACCACTCAAAAAAAGCCCAAGTCCAGTCGGATTCACAGCCGAATTCTACCAGACACACAAAGAGGAGCTGGTACCATTCCTTCTAAAACTATTTCAAACAATCCAAAGAGGGAAGCCTTCCCAAATCATTTTATGAGACCAACATCATTCTGATACCAAAACCCGGCAGAGACCCAACAAGAAAAGAAAACTTCAGGCCAATATCCACGATGAACATAGATGCAAAAATCTTCAATAAAATATTGGCAAGTCGATTGCAACAGCAAATCAAAAACTTATTCATCATGATCAAGTAGGATTCATCCCGGGGATGCAAGGCTGGTTCATCATACACAAGTCTATAAACATAATTCACCACATAAACAGAACCAAAAACAAAAACCACATGATTATCTCAATTGACGCAGAGAAGGCATTTGACAAAATTCAACAGCCCTTTGTGCTAAAAACCCTCAAAAAACTCGGTATCGATGGAACGTATCTCAAAGTAGTAAAAGCTATTTATGACAAACCAACAGCCAATATCATACTGAATGGGCAAAAACTGGAAGCATTCCCTTTGAAATCTGGCACTAGACAAGGATGCCCTCTTTCACCACTCCTATTCAATATGGTACTGGAAGTTCTAGCCAGAGCAATCAGGCAAGAAAAAGAAATAAAGGTTATTCAAATAGGAAAGGTGGAAGCCAAATTGTCTCTATTTGCAGACGACATGATAGTATACCTAGAAGACCCCATCGCCTAAACCCCAAAACTCCTGAAACTGATAAGGCAACTTCAGCAAAGTCTCAGGATATAAAATCAATGTGCAAAAAATCACAAGCATTCATCTACACCAATAACAGACGTAAAGAAAGCCAAATCAGAACGAATTGCTATTCACAATTGCTACAAAAAGAAATAAAATACCTTGGAATACAACTCACAAGGAACGTAAGGGAGCTCTTCAAGGAGAACTACAAACCACTGCTCAACGAAATCAGAGAGGACACAAACAGATGGAGAAACATTCCATGTTCATGGTTAGGAAGAATTAATATCGTGAAAATGGCTATACTGCCCAAAGTAATTTACAGAGTCAACGCTGTCCCCATCAAGCTACAATTGACTTTCTTCACAGAACTGAAAAAAACCACCATGAACTTCATATGGAACCAAAAGGGAGCCCGAATAGCCAGTCAATTCTAAGCAAAAAGAACACAGCAGGGGGCATCACACTACCGGATTTCAAACTATACTACAAGGCTACAGTAATCAAAACAGCATGGTACTGGTACCAAAAACAGAGATATAGACCAATGGAACAAAACAGGGCACCGGAGGCAACACAGCCTATCTACAACTATACCATCTTTGATAAACCTGACAAAAACCAGCAATGGGGAAAGGATTCCCTGTTTAACAAATGGTGTTGGGAAAACTGGCTAGCCATGTGCAGAAAGCAGAATCTGGACCCCTTCCTGACACCTTACACTAAAATTAACTCCAGATGGATTCAAGACTTAAACATAAGACCTGGCATCATAAAAACCCTAGAAGGAAATCTAGGCAAAACTATCCAGGACATAGGAGTAGGCAAGGAACTTCATGACCAAAACACCAAAAGCATTGGCAACAAAGCCAAAATAGACAAATGGGACCTAATGAAACTCCACAGGCTTCTGCACGGCAAAGAACAGTCACTAGAGTGGATCGGCAACCAACAGAATGGGAAAAAATTTCTGCAGTTTACCCATCCGACAAAGGGCTGATATCCAGAATTTACAAAGAACTCAAACCGATTTACAGGAAAAAAACAAACAAAAACCCATTCAAAGTGGGCAAAGGATATGAACAGACACTTTACGAAAGAAGACATATATGAGGCCAACAATCATATGAAAAAATGCTCATCGTCACTGGTCATCAGAGAGATGCAAATCAAAACCACATTGAGATACCATCTCACGCCAGTTAGAATGGCGATCATTAAAAAATCTGGAGACAACAGATGCTGGAGAGGATGTGGAGAAAAAGGAACACTTTACACTGTTGGTGGGAGTGTAAATTAGTTCAACCATTGTGGAAGACACTGTGGCGATTCGTCAAGGATCTAGAAAGAGAAATTCCATTTGGACCCAGCATCCCATTACTGGGTGTATATCCAAAGGACTACAAATCGTTCTACTATAAGAGGGACAACATGTACACAAATGTTCATTGCAGCATTGTTTACAATAGCAAAGACCTGGAATCAACCTGAATGCCCATGGATAATAGACTGGATTGGAAAAATGTGGCACATATACACCATGGAATATTATGCAGCAATCAGAAATGATGAATTTGTGTCGTTTGTAGGGACATGGATGAATCTGGAGAACATCATCCTCAGCAAACTGACACAAGAACAGAAAATAAAACACCGCATATTCTCACTCATAGGGGAATGATGAAAAATGAGAACAGATTGACACAGAAAGGGGAGTACTAAACACTGGTGTCTATTGGGGGGAAAAGGGGAGGGCCAGTGGGAGGGGGAGGTGGGGAGGGATAGCCTGGAGAGAAATGCCAAATGTGGATGAAGGGGAGAAGGAAAGCAAAGCACACTGCCATGTGTGTACCTACACAATTGTCTTGCATGCTCTGCTCATGTACCCCAAAACCTAAAATCCAATAAAAAATTAAAAAAAAAAAGATATCTTGAAAGGTAATTCCTGGACTGGAAGTTTCTGCTGGCATTGAATTTTAAGTAGATATTCACTTACTTACTCCTGGATTGGATTTTTTTTTTCTTGGCTACTTGTGAGGCCTCTTGTTCTATTTGATCCTGCTTCTCTCAAAGGAAATTTTCAGTCAACTGAATCTCCCTTTGTTCAACCCTTCATAAGTATGTTCTTCCACTGTGGTGCTAACTGCCCACTTTCTACCTTGTTGGCATGATTTTACTAAGAACAAATTCGAACTCCATTGGCTTCTTCAGAAAATTTAAATGTATCCAAACTTGCTCATCTATGACCTCTCCATTCTGATAACTTCTCCTCCTCCCTCCTTCTTTTACCACCTTGCATCTTCCCTTCAGTTTCCTTGAATTCTTTGAAATGTCTTCCTTCACAACAATCTACCTTCTCCACTCCTCTGTTCATCTCTGCCAGCCTTCTTCCTTCCCATTCCAGCTCCTAAACTTTTTATACTCACGTGAACTTTAGGCCTCTCCTCCCCGACTTGTGGCTCTCAAGGTATTGAGGAGCTTTTTCCAACTACATATTGGAAAAAAAGAAAATCTTAAAAGTCTCTTCCATGAATACTGTTAAAAAGAAATATTGAGAAGATAACTTTGATATCACCAGCAATACAATTCAGATAAAAATATGAAGCAGAGAGAAGATGAGAACCAGATATTTTAAGTAAACCATTGAGTTTTATATTACTATATTTATCAGACTCCTGACTGAAATTTCAGAATAAAAGCTACAGTCTCTATTTGTACTTGTCTGTATGTTTGGGTATGTATGTATGTATGTTATCTATATGCAATATTTTAATTTCCAAATAGCATTACCAAATTAATTTCTAAAATCATGTAGTTTTTTTCTGATTGGCTTAAAGATAATCACATACATAAATTAAACATTCCTTAAACTCTCAGAAATATAGAAACTAATCAAAATGTTTTTCAAGTATATGTAACTTACATAATTATTGGTAAATATGGCTAGTTTGATATTATTGGTTTAACTAATACAGGTATGCCTTCTCAGTTATCAGAATTAAGTACACAGGGGAAGAAAAATATCATGACTTTCTACCCTTTGAAGTTCTCAGGTAGGGCTCTAACAACAGAAATATTGACAGCTAAAAGCATAAAAATGCATTTAATATTAGTTTTATGTGACATGAAAGACTGCATAATGAAATTAACACCTGAAGAAATAATTAAACCTGAGTGTTTTTATGATAGGTTTGATGAAGAGTGGAAAGTTTTGGAAGAATATCATAAGACAAAGAGTATGAGCTAAGTGTAGTAAACCAAAAGGATCTTAACATGGATTGTTCATTCAAATTCCTCTCACTGTCCCTCCATCTTGAGAGATGAGGATGCTTCTTCCCTCTGGGTATTGGGAGAGAACCTCTTATATAAGTCTATCATGATATACATTAGTGGAGAAGGGCAGAGGAAGGTCAGGGAGTCCTTCCTGACATTTCTCAAGTTCCTTTAGCTTAAAAGAGTTAACATGACAAGGTGGCATGAGAGATTTTCTTTAAGTCTAATGGGCTTCCCTTTGTGCATTACCTGACCTTTCTCTCTGGCTGCCCTTAGCATGTTTTCTTTCATTTCAACCCTGGTGAATCTGACGATTATGTGTCTTGTGGTTGCTCTTCTCTAGGAGTATCTTTATGGTGTTCTCTGCATTTTCTGAATTTGAAATGTTGGCCTCCTTGGTAGGTTGGGGAAGTTCTTCTGGATAATATCCCGAAGAGTGTTTTCTAACTTGGCTTCATTCTCCCTGTCACTTTCAGGTACACCAATCAAATGTAGACTTGATCTCTTCACATAATTCCATGTTTCTTGGAGGCATTATTTTTTTTCACTCTTTTTTCTCTAATCTTGTCTTCTCACTTTATTTCATTTAGTTGATCTTCAGTCTCTGATACCCTTTACTCCACTTGATTGATTCGGCTATTTAAGCTTGTGTATGCTTCACAAAGTTCTCATGCTGTGTTTTTCAGCTCCATCAAGTTGTTTACATTCTTCTCTATGCTGGTTATTCTAGTTAGATTTTTGTCTAACCTTTTAAGCAGGGTTCTTAGCCACCTTGCATAGGGTTAGAACATGCTGCTTTTTCTAGGAGAAGTTTGTTATTGCCCACTTTCTGAAGCCTACTTCTGTCAATTCATCAAACTCACTCTCCATCCAGTTTTGTTCCCTTATTATTGAGGAGTTGCAATCCCTTGAAAGAGAAGATGCATTCTGGTTTTTGGAGTTTTCAATCTTTTTGTGCTGGTTTCTTCCCATGTTTGTGGATTTATCTACCTTTGGTCTTTGAAGTTGGTGACTTTTGAATGGGGTCTCTGAGTGGACATCCTTTCTGTTGATGTTGAAACTATTTTTTTCTGTTTGTTAGTTTTCCTTCTAACAGTCAGTGCCCTCTGCTGCAGGTCTGATGGAGTTTGCTGGAGGTTCACTCCAGGCCCTGCTTGCCTGGAAATCACCAGGAAGGGCTGCAGGAGAGCAAAGATTGCTGCCTGTTGCTTTCTCTGGTATCTTTGTCTTAGAAGGGTACCTGCCAGATGCCAGCCAGAGCTTTCCTGTATGAGGGGTCTGTTAGCCTCTCCTGGGAGATGTCTCCTAGTCAGGATACACAGTGGTCAGGGAGTCATTTGAGGCAGTCAGTCCCTTATCAGAGCTTGAGTGCTTTGCTGGGAGCTTCACTTCTCCCTTCAGAACTGCCAGGCAGGTACATTTAGTCTGCTGAAACCATACCCGCAAGTGTCCCTTTTCCCAGGTGTTCTGTCCCAGGAAGGTGGGGGCTTTATTTGTAAGTCCCTGATGGGCTGCTGCCTTTTTTCAGAGATGCCCTTCCAAGCAAGGAGGCAGTCTAGTAACACATTCTGCTTGCAGTGGTCTTGCTGAGCTGCCATGAGCTCCACACAGTCACTGTGTAAACTTCCTGGTGACTTTGTTTACACAGGCGAGCCTCAGCGATGATGGAAGCCTGTCACTCGACAGAGCTCGAACATCCCAGGTCGAGCTCAGACTGCTGTGCTGACTGCAAGAATTTCAAGCCAGTGGATCTTAGCTTGCTGTTCTTCATGGGAGTGGGGCCCACCAAACCAGATCACTTGACTCCCTATTTCATTCCCCCTTTTCAAGGGAATGAAGGGTTCTTTCTTTCCTGGTGTTCCAGGTACCAGAGTGGGTATGAAAAAAAAAAGCTGCTGTGGCTAGCTCTGTGTCTTCCCAAACAGTTGCCCAGTTTTGTGTTGGAAACCCAGTGTGCTGGGTTGTAGCACCAGAGGGAATCTTCTGATCTGTGGGTTGTGAAGACTGGGGGGAAAGTGCAGTAATCCTGAGCCAGAGTGCCAGAGTGCCAGGAAAAGTCCCTAATGACTTCCCTTGGTTAGGAGTGGCTTGCACTTCCCAGGTGAGGTGATGCCCCACCCTGCTTCAGCTTACCCTCTTTGGGCTTCTCCCATTGTCTAACCAGTCCCATTGACATGAACCAGGTACCTCAGTTGGAAATGCAGAGATCACCTGCCTTCTGTATCACTCTCACTGGGAGCTGCACACCGGAGCTGTTCCTATTTGGCCATCTTTCCACTGCCTCGTGTGGTTCAACTTTAAAGCAAGGATAATAATAATATCTTTTCCAATGTTAACCCTTCAAGGAAATAAGAAAGTGTGTACACACAATGATTGCTGCTGCCCAGATGTCTGTGGTCATTGGTCACCTCTTGCCCTCACCCCCCACTTTCTCCTCCCTCCTCAAAGGAGGAGCCTAAAATTTATATTACCTAAAGATGGTTCTTTAGGAAACAAATTCTGCTACCTTTTCAGTTTACTGGCTCTGAATAAAGTTGTTTTCCTTGTCCAAATACCTTGTCTACCAACTTACTGCCTATCATGAAGTGCATGCTACAACCGTTGAATTTGGTTACTAGATGTTCAAGATTATAAAAAATATAGATTCAACCTAAGAACAGACCTACAAGTAAAAGTGGTAAAAAAAGAAAAAATATGTAAGTTTTTGGTTTTTACTTTTTGATATGTGTCTAACACACAGTGCTGTAATAATAGTTAACAGATGAGAACACATGGACACAGAGGGAGTATCACACACTGGGGTCTGTTGGGGGAACAAGGGGAGGAACAGCGAGGGTAGGGAGTTGGGGAGGGATAACATGGGGAGAAATGCCAGATATTGATGATGGAGATGGAGGCAGCAAACCATATTGCCATGTATGTACCTATGCAACAATCCTGCATGTTCTTCACATGTAGCCCAGAACCTAAAGTGCAATTATATATATATATAATATATATTCTGAACATATATATATATATATATTCAGAAAAACAATGTGAGATGATGACTAGCTTTGTTTAATGTAATATACATTTGCATAAAAACAATTTTTAAAATCTTTTTGGTAATTTGCAAACTTAAAGTTATGCTAAGTTAAGTAACATTAATTAAATATTTAGATCAATTCTAAGTAAGATACAAAGTATTTGTAAGTTTAAGTCTGTATATGTTTGGCTTCTTAATTTTATATAATACAAAACAAATTACTGTATTTAAGTCTCCTATTAAAATGTTTTTATTGTTAATTTGAAAAATTGTAGTATGAGAAATCATACCTATATAATTGTAAAATGATATGTTTATAAAATTTGCTAGTCTGCTACAGAATCCTGTTATACAGCAGACAATTTATAATTGTCTACATGTATAAGCAATACAAAACATGAAGAATGTGTTTTTGTTAAGGAAAAATATGCAGTAATTTTATCCCAGTAAAATGTGTATTGGAGCAAGAGTTTTTTCTTTATCTTCTTTTTTTTTTTTTTTGAGGCACAGTTTCCCTCTCTTGTCCAGGCTGGAGTGCAGTGGCGCAATCTTCGCCTACCAGGGTCAAGTGATTCTCCTGCTTCAGCTGCCCAAGTAGCTGGGATTACAGACACCCACCACCACACCCAGCTAATTTTTGTAATTTTTTTTTATACTTTAAGTTCGGGGGTACATGTTGAGGATGTGCAAGTTTGTTATGTATTTATACGTGTGACATGGTGGTTTGCTACATCCATCACTCTGTCATTTACATTAGGGTATTTTGGTATTTTTCCTAATGTTATCCCTCCCCTAGGCCCCCACCCACTGACAGGCAGGCCCAAGTGTCTGATGTTCTCCTCCATATGTCCATGTGTTCTCATTGTTCAACTCCCACTTATGAGTAAGAACATGTGGTATTTGGTTTTCTGGTCTTCTGTTAGTTTGCTGAGAAGGATAGTTTCCAACTTCATCCATGTCCCTGCAAAGGACATGAACTCATCCTTTTTTATGGCTGCATACTTTTCCACAGTGCATATGTGCCACATTTTCTTTATCCAGTCTATCATTGATGAGTATTTGGGTTGGTTCCAAGACTTCGCTATTGTAAACAGTGCCACAATAAACATATATGTGCATGTGCCCTTATAATAGAATGATTTATAATTCTTTGGTTGTATACCCAGTAATTCAATTTCTGGGTCAAA